CCATTCAAGAGAAACTCTTACGATGACTCTTGTGGTGGTTTTAAAACCCCGATTGGGAGGTCCATCCCTACCAGCCAGTAAAGGAAACGGTGCAAGTCACCAAGGCCCATGGAAACAGAGCAAAACGAATGTAGGCTGACCAGCTTTGACCCATTCGATCGGCAGTCTCACATTGGTTCTGTATCCCGGCTGACCCCTACCAAGCCCAAGGAACCATTTTAACATATTTTAACCATGGAGGTCGCCGCAGACGTTTCATGATTGTGGGACCAAGAGGGACATTCCCAAGACTACAGAAAATAGCCCCAAATAACTCGAGACACCAGCAGTTCATGTGCTGTCTCTCGGGCAATTCGGAAGCCAATAAAACTATGCTGGGCCCACTTGGACTGTCCCTAAACCAAAAAGAAAAACGACACCAGACCCCAGCCGCATGTTTCTTTTTTGGTGCCCAGATGCCAGGCTCAGCTGCCGGAAGTTGCGGAGCTGCAGGCGTCGCGCCACTTCTTGCCGCAGCGCGTCCAGAAAGCAGCGGTGGCCCGCTCGGAGATCTTCGTGCGCGTCCCACCACTGGGCGAAGTCCTGGAGTTAGGGGTGAGGCAAAGGGGGACTGGGGAGGGGAGGGGTGCTTGATGTCCACCTAGGATTCAGAAACCCTCATCTATGAATAGGGTGTGCCTGGTTTAGTAAAGGGGTCATCACTTCTGGGAAAACGGAACACCCCCATATGAATAAGTGGGGCTTTGTGAACTGTAGGGTAAGTCAACATAAGTGGTCATAGTGGGAGGTAAGCCTGGCCAAAACGTTGGGGTGCTCGAAGGGGCAGGATACTTAGTACGTCGGGAACCCTGGTTGTGACCCACTTATGATATACTCAATGGGTAACGAGCCTTTTCTGTTGGGGGCGTGCGGCACCGATTTTCGCTTCGGAATGCAATCACGTGCGAATCCGTGATCCTGCTATCCAATGATTTGCGTCTTACACCCCAAAATTACACCCCCGAAGGAAATCACCACCTTCGGCTAAATACTGCGCTCAGAAGAAACCAACTGCCCTCACACCAGGAGGGGAGCTTAACTGTCCTGGAAGGGAGGCGTCTGTTCACCTTTTCTGGGGCCGGGGGAGTCTGGATCTCCTCTTTGTTGGCCACAAGCTGAAAATTGAGTGTACCCCAGAATTGGCGGATTTGCGACCCCGAGACAAGATCCTGGCTTGGACCATGCAGGATTGTCCTTTTGCCAATCACTGGGGGCCGCGTACCAACCAAGAGAAAGCTCCTGAGCCCAGCCAGGAACCATGTGGCAGTTCCATGCCAGGTTTTGCACTTTTGCAGGGGTCGTCATATCGTGCCGGCAAATTACCCATTCGACGTGGGCTTCAGGCTTTTTTTCTTCCGGTGAACAAGGCAAACTATGTTGGTCTTCTTCTTGGTCTTGTTTCTTTTTGGTCTTGACTTTCAAGAGTCCAAATCTCGACCCTGGCTGACTTGTTCGCCGTTGACCTGCCAGATTTTGGGGGCAACCATTCATATCCAAACCTCCCGTCCACTAACCCCCGGCCTGTTCCCTTAAAACAGGAGCTTAACAAGGCCCCAAATTCGGGAGCGGGTTAGGAGAAGGTGCATGGGGAAAAACACACACACCCTTTTGAAAAACTTTTGCAGGGGCCCCCTTCAAGCCTGAAGAAAGCACATGGAATCCGGTTGCAACCAACTTCGGCCCTTGGCTCCTGGGGCGTCATGACCTCCCGGCCACTGGACAAGCAGACGTACGCCATGGCCGATCCGTCGTTCGGCGGGTGAAGCAAATGTCTCATGGACTCCCAAAATGAGAGGCGGTGTCCTTTTTTTTGGACGGACCTTGTTTTTGGGGGGGTGCAAAAGAGAAACCAAGAAAAACCGACATCAAATTCTCCTAAAAAAGACACACCCAAAGGAATTGTGTTTACGTAAACCGTAAACCCACGTCTGCACCGGGAATTGTATTACCCTTCATCCAAACTTCTGGGCGAATCGCGTTCACTCACCAAACCGGTGAGTCAAGAGATCGCAAAGAACCTGGGGGTGCTGGTCCACTAAAGATGTTTGAAAAAGCTTCCAGGTTGAATTAATGCAGTGTGGAACCCCTAGAGGGTCCCCTCAGGGCAATTGTCACTTGGGCAATCGGCGGCGCAGGGCTGTCAAAGGTGCAAGCGAGAAGAACGTGCTGGATTTCTTGCGTGCCCCAAGTATCGCCCAATGGGCAAGTGTCAGTGTCATTATGATTTGTTGGGGGCCCCAAAATTGTGGTTTTACTTTTGGATCTCCTGTAAACCAAGGTGAAATGGATATTCCGGGGTGCCCTCAACAAAACCACACCGGCATGTGCCACCCTCAATATTCGTCGTGCCCCCATTCAATTTCCGAGTTTTTGGCGACCGTGCCGCGGGCCCCACGTCATCTTACCGTAGATGACAGCAAATGCTGACCGTTGCTCGTATGCCCCAATACTTCTCCGGCTTCTGAGGGATCCATGCTTGGGGGCAAGTACATTCCTCCAAAGTGATTTGGGGACAACCTGAGCAGCATTCACCGTTTTTTTTTTCCTGATTGCGCTACACGCCAAAAGCGTCGGGGGTAAAAAGGGAACTGGCCCAAGAAGCGATGTCAAAGCCATCCAAGAGCAACACTCAAAAAACACACACACACACATCGCACAAAAACATCTACCGAAAGCAAGCAACCGAATAGGATTGCCGAGAGGGCTTTCACGGGGCCTGCTTAAAAGGGCTTTTTGCTCTGTTTGTTGGGGCTGCAACCCGTTTCTGGAGCCAGAGCAGCCTAACCCGCCTGCTATGCCAAGCACATCAACTCAGGGATCAGGCATGGAGTTGAATAGGTTTGGGCAACCGGAGCCAAAAATAGATCGGCGCTTCGACGATCTAGCCAACCTGATTTTTGCCGATTACCTCTGCACACAACTCCCTTCGATTAGCTGGGATACAACCCTTGTGCAAAATCCCAACCTGCCAATGGCTTTCTCTTTAAGATTCCTGGAACTGGGTTCCAACCCTCGCCCTTCGCCAAAAGAGATCCCGCCAAAACTCAGTGCGGCTTTTTAGGGCACCAACATGTTGGGTGTTCATTCAAACACCCACTTTGGAGGCTCCCCTTTGAGACAAATCGGTTTGGAAGGAGTGAGGTGAGCCGAGCGTATGAGGCGTGGGCAGGTCGCCCACCACGCGCTTGAGAATCTCCAGCCATTGCGCCAAATCCTCTGGATAGTTCGGTTGGGGTTCCCCACAAAAGGGGTGGGGGTTGGGTGGGGTGGAGTGGGGTGGGGTGGGGTGGGGTGGGGTGGGGTGGGGGTTGCGGTTGGGGTTGGGGTTGGGGTTGGGGTTGGGGTTGGGGTTGGGATTGGGGTGGGGGTGGGGGGTTGGGGCGCGGTGGTACATGTCATCTACCATGGGCTCAACATGGTTGTGGGAAATAACCCCAATCTGCGATACCAACGTGGGACGCTCATCCCACTACTTTGACACTTGGCATCACAGAGAGTCAAACCGAATCTTCCACATTCATGTTGAGATCGTGTTAGGGGTCCGTCAGGTAACCCCAGCAAAAAGCCATGTCATGTCCTAAAGCTTGTGCTCTTCTTTTCTTTTTCTTTTTTTTTTTGGGGGGGGGGGGCGGGTTACAGGAAACCCAAAGGACACGCACAGGGTCTTGATCCAAGCCCTCATTTGTTTGTGAGTTTTGCTGACGGCGGTTTAACCAGGGGCCGATTCCGTTCAGACTTGTTTGCACCTGCAAAGTATTTAAACAAGTGCCTTTTGGCGCGCCCTTTCTTGTCGGGGGCCAGACGGCTGGCGGTTGGTGGTTGCTGGTTGCAGGTGATACTGTTTTGGGGATTCAATTGGCCTCATAGTTGGGCTTTCTGTGATTCCCCCCCCAAAAAAAAGAAAGAAAACAAAACATCGAAAAAGGGGTTGTGCCCCCCCATGTTTGGAACTACCAGCCGATTTTGGGGGGTTCCAAGTCTAGCTCCTTAAACTCGCCTCAGCGGATCAGGACATGTCCAGACAAGTGAAGACCATTCGTTTACAACTAGCATGATCTTCCCCAAAACACTGATTCTGAAAGCACCACAACCCCCAGATGCTGACTGTTGTTTTTCCCCCCTGCCTTAAAAAAGAGGTTCGGTTGAAGAAAAGGTCCTGTTGACACCTGAGGGCCTTCCAGAAATTCGGGGTGTCCGAGTGTCTCCTGTTTTTCAGGAGTATACCCCCATATGGCGCGCACTCGTCTATTTACAACCATCTTTTGCAGGTTGCATTGGTGTTTCTTTGAGGCTTCGGGGCTCCAAAACCACGGGCCGCTTCTCAAGGTCCTCCATCATGGTCCACGGAGTTTTCAGATCCAGGCAGATCAGGGCAGCACAAAGCCTCGTCGGAGAAAGTCGGGGAATCCATGGGTAAGGAACTGGAAGTAACCACTAAAAAGCCATCTTCCAAGCAAACCAAAAGCGGCATGAAAAAAAGAGAGCAACGCGCAGCTTCAAATTAAAAAGCAAACCAAAAAGCCGAAACGTGGAAAGCAAAAGCTAAGGAAACTACCAATGGCCATGCACAAAAAACGGCGGCACCTCTTGTTGATATGCGTGTTCAAAGAGATGCCCGTGCCAAAAATAGAGGAGCCAAGGGACATGCAGCACTGGAGATCTGAGAAAAGGAGATAGTTCTTGGAGGAGCCAACTCCCGCACCAACCACTTGGGAAAAAAATCACCCCTGGTTGATTTATGGGATGTTCACCGGGGGTACGGGATTTTGACCCATGGCCAATTAGGAATCCGCCAGACTTGTGGAATCCGTAGCGGGCGAGCTCGTTTTACCCACGATTGACCCTGGAGAAATCTTTTTGCCATGGCGTGGAACGGCCCAAACGTGGAATTTTGGGGAGGCTCTAAACTCCGAATTTCAGCCGGAGTTCAGAAGTGGAAGCCAGAAATCCAAGCCGTCCCGATCGACCACAGTTTTTCCCGAATTGAATCGGTGGAATCCCTGAATGACCTAACTTCATGGAATCCTTCAGGGAAAAAATGTCAACCTGGGAAAGAACACTGGAACACTTTAATGGTTGTTCTCAAAAAAGAAATCGAAGAATGCCATTTGGCAACCAGGGCTGATGCGTCCTTGGTTCCTTCCCTGAGGAATGGAGTTGCAGGCGACGCCCTCATGTCAGCCACGGCAACGACTTGACAGAACCAAGAGCGACAAGCACTTCCAAGCAAGAACAGTCGAGACAGTGAAGCCAAACAACTTAACCAGACTAGAAACAGGAAACAAAGAAAGAAACAAAGAAACAAGCAGACAAACAAAACAAACAAACAACCAACCAAACAAACAACCAACCAACCAACCAAACAAAACAAACAAACAAACAAACAAACAAACAAACAAACAAACAAACAATCAAACAAACCAGAACCGAGCGCAACCTGTCTTTTGCCAGCAGGCAAAAAGAAGAACCCGCTCGGCCCAGCGACAGGGCAATCGCTCGGGCCCCGGCGACAGGTCTTTGGGCTTGAGGCGGGAGAGGAAGATCTTCTCATGGACAGGGTCCTCGGGGTGGATCGCTTCTGCTTTCCTCTCGTTCCTGGTGCTAAAGTTCCTTTCGATGGGGAATGACCCCGAAGCAAACCATCCATCCGATTTGGTGTCCTTTCTTGGGACTCCCCAGAGCCAGTTCATTTCCCACCCGGTCTCGGTCATTCCCTAAGTGAACCAAAGAAGCTACACTTGAACCCCCCCAAAATCGGACTCTCCCACAAAAGCGATGAACGACCGCTGTTTGGCATGAGAAAAGGGCAGTTCCTGATCAGCACCACTTGAGGGGAAGGCGCCAACGCCCGGGGCGTGGGTTCGGGAGAACTTGTCGCAACCTTTACTTGCTGGTGCGATAGGTTGGCCAAAGGCCACACTGCTTGCGTGCTTGCCCCAAAACATTCAAGTTCGCAAACTGGGGCAAGTTATTTAATTAAGCCCCAAAGCCGTGCGGTATGACACTACTTTGGAACCTCAAGTAAGCAATCACGGCAAGTTCTGCCCCCAAACCAAAAACGACATGTTTGTTCCTGGCCAACATGTGCAAAACCTTAAACATGACAAGAGCTCCCAAATGCTTCCCACCTTCTCCTCCAGGACGGGGTGAAGCTGAGCTACAACTTGGAATTGACACTCTCCCCAAAAGTCGAGGGAAGCCTCTGCCAAAATGGGGCGGTGTTTGTTCCCTGTCAAGTAACACGAGGCATGCCAAAAAATGGAAAGGAGGGGTGGCCTTTCTGGTGTGTTTTTACACGATGTCGCAAAACGTATTCTTTCCAGTCAAGCAGAAGCGTCCGAAGCCCAAGACAAGCCAACATGATTGTGGATCGAGCAGCCTCCCAAGTGCATCGTGAACAACGCGGGGCCAAACCCCTCACGTTGAGGCGGAGTGATAGGTTTTTCTGTAAGGCTCTTACAAAGCATTGCGGAACATTCCTCACACGACTAAACCTGCAATTTGATGTGCAAGTGTGCATGCAAGTGTTGATTAGACCCTGTAATTGATTGCCTCTAGACACCTCCCTTAATTCATCCTGATCAACACTTTGGCAGCAACAAACTCGAACAACCCGGCAGGTCAACTAATTCAACCTTTCCCCCTAAGCCCTTTTGGCTGACCTCCCTTCCCTTCCAGCTACCCGCCCCCCAAAACCAGTCCTCGAGAATCAGCACCTCGGACCGGCAGAGCACGGCG